TCGGCATTCACCAAAGTTTGAGACGATGTTGCTTGAACATGTTCGTGCGTAGGAGAGTAACTGTGCAACTGCATCGGTGATGAAATGTCATTGTTTGAGGTAGATGGACCAGGTTGCTGCAACATTGACACCGACGCCCCTTCATGTACAGGTGCAGTAAAATGTGAACTAAATGGAATGTCAAATTGATCGTCGTGTAACATTCTACTGAAAGATCCCATTCCATATTCAAATGACAGAATGTTGTATGAGGGCATTTGTAACGAGCTTGTATTGTATAAGGGAAGATATGTAGGTTGTTGCTCTATTAAGCGAATAGTCTGTTGAGTACATATAGGCATCATTTCCACATACAAATCAGTGGGAAGAGACCTCATTGCAACGACACCCCTCAAAACCTCTAAATGGTCGTCATTCAAAACAAGTAAGATTTGAACCCCACTGACACTCTCAAACCTCATTTTAATGTTCAGTTCAACATTCGTTGGGTTTGAACCAGTTATAGTATAAACCTTCTTCAACAAATCATTATAAGTCATACAAGGTTTCAATGCCAACGGTTCCATTTTTCCTCCTCTATACTCGACGTTCGATCCGACACACAAAATTTCACCCCCCCCAACGGCATAACAAAACAATCAATTGTGAAGCCATGTTCTACATAACAAATAAAACACATATTAGATGACACAAATACATAACACAACTAAAACCACAACGATTCCATTAAATCCTCAAGCTAAGCGTATATACAACTTAGTGTTCAACAATGTACTTATTTACCTAGTTAATCAACAACGTAGTATATATTTAAATGTACCTAATTCAACAATGTAGTTCGTAAACATACTTGAATTTTACACACTAAGTATGAAGAATAATGTATGCTTCATATATATGATTTGAAATTAAACAACATACATATAAGTATACTTAATTTCAACAATTAAACAACAATGTATTATGTAGTTATACTTATTTCGCATACTTGAACAACAATATAGTACATACATTGTAAGTTACAAACATAAATTCCCAAAAAACATCATAAACAAGTAAAATAGTTAGATTCAATACATACCTCAAATTCGATCAATGTACTGCGTAAAAGTGTTGAACAAAGAAGGAGGAATAACTTTTAGTAACTATGATGAAGATCTAAGCAATGGGATGTGATGAATTTGCTGCAAATATGGAGGATTGGGCGAGCAGTGAGGCGCGGGTTAGGGTTTGGAATTTGGGGGTTTTGCGTTTTGTTGAAGAACAATGAACAAAATAACTATATACTGCCTGAAATACCCGATACAAAAACGCTAACCAGGTTGGCATTTATGGTACAACGGTAAACCGCCAACGCCAAATTTTTTTAGAAAATTTCAGTCAAGGTAAAATGCCAACCAGACTGGCGTTTTTTCCTAGACTGATTTTTTTAAAAAAAATGGCCATGGTAAAAATGCCACCCTGGATGGCGTTTTATCGTGGAAGCTTAGTTTGGTAAATAGTTTTGCCACGCGTCTACTTTGAAGAATAGTTTTTTAACGAAACTCACTTTGGTAATTTTTCCCATAATTTTTGTTTTGGGCGTGTTTAGAGGAGATGATTTACTGTATACTATTTGGTTTGTTTATCAACTCAATAACGATGAAAGAGATAAATTATTGTTAAAGGTATTAGCTTCACTATTCTAATTAGAATTTTTATGTTTACTATATTCATTTTTTTACAAGGATGCAAGATGTAATTCATCTACATTGTACAACACTGTCATATTGGAATAACCCCCAGCTGTTGTTATGATGCTTTATAAGCAATTAGTTGCACTTTGTAGATAGTACTAATTGAACTTTGGTTCCTGTAATCAACGTCAACTTCATTTTTACGAACTAGCTAACAAATCATCAACTTCATTAATTGACATATTTGTACTAATCAGACTTGAAATTAGTTTATCAAATTATCTTTTAACAACTCAAATTGATGATTACGACTTATTACTTCCTCAAAAAAGTGTTTTTCTATACTTCCACTAGTTAAATATACAATTTATTAACAATATATTTTTTACTCATTCAATATTACGTTATAGAAACATATCGAGGGATGGATGTGAAGCGATAAAAGTTTCTCTTCTACAAAAAAAAAAATAAAAATAAAACCCAAAACCTCTCTTCTCTCTCCTCAACACAGTTTCCCACCGGATCTCAACAATTTTTGTTTTTTATAAATTTTTATTTTTCCACCAATCCCGTTATCTCCATATTTTATTACTTTCTTAATTTTTTTTTAAAACTCCGCGTATGAAGAAATGGAGTAGGTAATTTAAAAATGGAGGGAGTAGTTAATTGCATGTGAAATGAACAAACACGAACCATACATAACATTGAGCCCAAGTAAAAAAATTAGCAAACTTTTTTTTAACTTGAAAAGGTGAAAAAGGATAATAATAGAGCATCGAAAAACATGAAATCAGTATATTAATGGGTGGGGGTAATTATGGGAATGCACAACTCAAAGGAGGGAAGACCATTCTCAGCAGTGAGGAAAAAAAAACCCCTCAATCTCTCTCTACCCACTTTCTCACTCCTCCCATACAATTTCTCTCATCAAATGTTTTTTTCACCACAGCAATGAGGAGAAAAAAAACCTCTCATCACTTTCTCCTCCACTATTTTTTAATTTATTTTTTAATTACGTTTAAAAATAATTTAATAAAAATTTATAATTACGTTTAAAAATATTAATAATACTAACTGGAAATTTTTTTTATAAGAAATAATTATAATAATAATAATAACAAGAAGAAATTGGGAAAATATGTTAATTTCTCTAATTTATGGGTTTTTTTGAAAGTATATCAAAATGCATGTCTATTTATAGAGAAAAAAATTTTATGGTCGTTGGTGAATTTTTTATTTTTTTTAAAAATAATTACAACGGTTATATTTCAAATACAAAATATAACCGTTGTAAAAAAACAACAAAAGCAGTGGGGGCCACATGTTACTGTTCATCACCAAAAGCCCTCAACTCTTGAGGGTTTTTATTTTCACCCATCGGTGAGTGTTTTTTCACTCACTGATGTAGTGTTCGGATTTTTTTTTTACACCCTTATTTTTACTCGTGAGGGCTTTTCTCCTCACTGCTGGGAGTGCTCGAAGTGAGTGGAAGATTCTATTGCTGGGTGGGGTAAATAATTTGTTAATTTTTTTTATGAAAAATGTTAAATGAAGCTCGACCCTAAAGCATAATTTAACATTTGTTTAACGGTAGGTTTACTATAAAGACTATTGTAATTGTTTAATGTTACTATTTGGAAGAAAGATAAAAAAATGGTATCATTTGAAAAAGCCAAAAGTACAGTGGTATCAAATGGAAAATCCTTACAATTTTTTACCCCCTCCGTATTTTATTACTTGTTTTACTTTCCTTTTGCGGCCGTATTCTATTACTTGCTCCATTTTCTTTTTTGGAAACCTTCATGATATTTTACGTACTAATTTTTTTTCTCCTAATCCTAATGGACCCCTAACTATTATATTTTAATAATTTCAAATTCTCTTTCATCCCAACTATCACACTTTATTCTTCCACCAACACCACTTCCTTCTTATTTTATTACTTTCTACTATTTCTCCTAAAACTCCGCACATAAAGAAATGGAGAAGTAATAAAATACGGAGGGAGTATTATCTTATATATTCCACTAACATCTTATTTTATTAAACTTCATAATACTCCGCGCAATCCCAACTCTAGCTTTAATAAATATGGAAGGACTACATGATCTCATTTTCACTTTTGCTTGGTACAGACGTACAGTAAGGCCCCGTTCACTTCACCTTATTTTTGCTGAACTGAAATTATTTTTACTGAATTGAAATTATTTTTGCTGAACTAAAATTAATTTTACTGAACTAAAAGTATTTTTGCTGAACTGAAATTATTTCTATTGATTCTCTTTTATATTTTTTCTTTAAAGTTACTGATTTTTACTGAACTGAAATTATTTTTGCTCAACTGAACTTATTTTTACTGAATTAAATTATTTTTACTAAATTAAAATTATTTTTACTAAATATTATTATTTTAAATTGAAGTGAACAGGACCTAACTTAATAATACTCCCTCTGTCCCTTTATTTTTGCCCCATTGTCATTTTTTGGGTCAAATTTTAAAAACTTTAACTATAAATTACCGTTAATCTATAAAAGATAATATAATCATGAGTGGTCTTGTTAGATTCGTCTCATTGTATATTTTATTAATATTACATTTTTATGATTTTTACGTGTATGAAAATAAAGATATAGAGGTTTTAAGACGCGTTTTAGGGACAGTGCACAGTCAAATAAGGCAAAGTAAACATAGGGACAGAGGGAGTAACATTTAGCAAAACGAAGGTGGAAATAACAACGTCTAATTCTAATTTTTGATTTCGCGGAACAATTAACGATATTCATATAAATCATATCCCGCCTGAAATCACCCGAGTACCCGACCAAAGTTTAAACCCTAACCCCTAAAACTTCACTAATTTCAAACGCTGAACTAATTGGTAAGAGAAAATCGAATAAATAGATGCTTCAATCATTCAATTCCAATCCAGCCATTGAAGGTACAATTTCTTCAGCTTTTTTCTTCAAATTTTCATTCATTTTGCTACTACTTTAAAATGGCATTTGTTTGATTTTTTCAAAACATGTGACCCTAATTTGTGCATTTTTTTTTTCTGAACTTGATTACCTATTTATGTTTGAATATCAAAACTTCTTTAGGTTTTGCTCTAAATTTTTATTGTATGCAATGATAAAATTGTCAATTTTGTTGTAGTTCATAACAATATTGGTTGGAATTTGCACAATTTGATGCATCAACGATAGTAATTAGTCAATAAAATGTTGAAATGATGATTAATTATAGTCTATTGCTATTTTGTATTCTTCTATGCAGGTTTGTATTAGATTAATTTAGGCTATAGTCGTTATACTCTTGATAGTTGAACGTATTCAATACTTTTAAGTGTTGAATCTTACATAATTTTTCTCCCTCACTGTTTGATTGTAAAATGGTGAGTTCTGACACGTGTTTGTTGATGGGAATTGTTTTCTCCTATTCGGCCTTGCAATATTTTCCGTGCTTGAGCTGTATTTTTGTTCTTCTGGTCTTCTCACATGGCAAATTATCATTGTTCAATTTGCTAGAATTGGTGTTTTATTAGTTTAATGTGTTTTGAGTGTGTGTGTGTGGGTGGGAGGGGGGATGATTTTTTTTCTTTTCGAATTCTATAGAATTCTATATTCATAATAGGGACAGTGGCTTGTACTTTATTTGGTTTATGATTTTTTATTTTTTATTTTATTTTATTTTTTTCTCTATTATCATGTTATACAGAATGTCGTTGATGTTGGCGAAGGCAAGCCAAGTTTTGAGCAGGGAAGTAGTGCTTTGGAACACTGGCTTGATTAGGAGATTTATGTCTGGTTCAAGTAGGGCTGTTGTTGATTCTGCTGCTAAAGATGGGGAGCTCAGAGTGTTTGTAGTTGCTGGCGAGGTTTCTGGGGATATAATAGGTGCGCGCCTAATGACTTCATTGAAGAGGTTATCACCGTTTCCAGTCAAGTTTTCTGGTGTAGGTGGGTAAGTCTATGATCTTTCAGTTACCGTTATAACACCTATATTTGCATGATCTATTCTTTACCAGGCGAGGGACTTATTATTTTTTTTTTAAATGTTTTTCTTTAAGTCATTTTGCTATGATGAGAAGTGAAGAACTAATTGTTACACTTTCGTATTTAAGTTATATTAAAAAAAAAAAAAAAAAAAAAAGTCTTTAAAAATGCTTTGTTGGCTCAGTTATGTTTTCAATCTCATCCTCATTCTTGTGTTTGTATGTGTGCATTTTATAATACTTCTTAATTTCTATGATGAACCATGGTCTATATTCCCATAAATATGTTGTTAAAATTGCTTTTAGAGTTTTTCCAGCAGCTGGTCTGCCTTATGCTTTCCATCTTGATTCTAGCTTATACAGCTTTCTTTTATCCAGTTCAATGATGTCTCAACATGGATTGCGATCTCTGTTTCCTATGGAAGATCTCGCTGTAATGGGAATTTGGGAATTGTTGCCACATCTTTATAAGATTAGAGTATGTATATAATACTTTTTATGTTGTTGTGTCTGCTCAGCAAATGAAAATCAACTCACTTTGTGGGTTTTTGATATTAATACTTTTTATGTTGTTGTGTCTGCTCAGCAAATGAAAATCAACTCACTTTGTGGGTTTTTGATATTGTTCTGAAGTTTTGGTTATCAAATTCAGGTAAGGTTGAAGGAAACAGTGGAAGCTGCTTTCTTGTTTAAACCACATGTTGTTGTAACAGTGGACGCAAAGGGTTTCTCTTTCCGTTTCCTCAAAGAGCTAAGAGGTATTGACCAGTCACTTGGAGTTCAAATTTTCTAATTTTTTTCTCCTAATAACCGTTGTAATAGAAAAATATACAAATGCCTTTTGCAGCTTTCTATATTCTGCAACATGTAGATAGTCCTATGCATTTCCATTATGTTGCACCATCATTCTGGGCTTGGAGAGGTGGTGAAGCAAGACTCAAGGGCCTTTCTCAATTTATAGACCACATTTTATGTATTTTGCCATTTGAGGAAGAAGTTTGCAAGCTAAATGGGTTAGCAGCGACTTTTGTGGGACATCCTGTGCTGGAAGATTGTTTGGAGCTGAATTTAGTACGTCTTTTGACCTCTCTGTATTGTGGATGCATTTATTTAATGAGCCTATCCTTGTTTCCTCCCTAGTGCTCTATATTGATGTAGAGGATTTACTTAAAATGAATAAAACCTATTCCAGATTTTGAGTAGGCAACTTTATTGGGATCTTGTTGGTTGGTTTCTGTAATTAGCTGCTAAGCTTTAACTTCCAAAGTGGTACTATATACGGTTTGTCTTTTTTATCTCTTTCTGTGTTTGTATGCTTGCCCATTTGTATACTCCCTTATTTTTCCCTCTTCATTCTCTTTCCTCCTAGGTTTAGAATACGTTATTAAGTTTTCTATTTGGTATAGACTATAGAGACAACAGCTCTACTTTGTTCAAGTCACAGGGGAAATCCTTCTCACGGATTTTTATTTGGGATTAAATTCATGGAATTGTTCCATGTGATATTCTACGATGAAGAATATTTCTGCTCATAATAGAAAGTTTCCATGATTCACATCAAAACCTTCTGGGCAGAACTATTTTCTTTCCTTGCTGAAGTGTAGGTCCTCCCAACAGGGAAGCCTTGAATATGTTAGGCAATAGCCCAACAGTGTTCATTTACTTGATTGAAATCCAATATTGGTGTCTTGTGCTTTTATATGATTCTGTTTCTGTTCTTTCAAGAACTTAACATCTGGTGTTTTGAGCTTTAAATGATCTGTGAAGGTCTTTTTTTTTTCCTTAATTTTTTTGTTCTAATAAAAATAATGTATATTCCTTTTTGCACCAACCTGTTGCAGCTACTGCTCTATTAGTTTTAATATAGTGGTAGAATTTCAGGGGGAAGACACTATTGACTGGAAGATTCACACAAATAGTCAAGACTTCAGAAGTAAATTTGAAATTCCTTCAGGTATTAATCTTGGTGGTAATAGTTGTTGCCGATGTTTATTAATCACCTGATTAAGATTAATGCATTGTTTGAAAATCTCCTTATTTATGGGATTCGCCTTTTCCATATGCATTTCTTTATTTTTTACATCTTTAAAACCGAAATAATAAATCTTTGCTATTTGCTATATTATCTTGTGTAATCTGTTTTACTGGAATGGCTTTGTAATCAATGTCAGTGACTGTTGGCAACATTTGTTTTTGTCTCCAAAGGAGCCAAGGTTATAACACTGCTTCCTGGTAGCAGATTACAAGAGGTACAACGTATGGTTCCAATCTTCTTGAAGACCATGGAGCTTTTGAAGGGCTCATTTCCTGAGTTGAGAACAGTCATGCTTGCCGCTTCTAATCAGCACGTGGAAGATTACCTTGTTAGATTGATCGACCATTGGCCTGTGCCTGTCATACTGATTCCTGGGAGTTCAATAGACCAAAAATATGATGCATTCAATGTAAGTATGCTTAACTTTTATTGTTGTGGAAACTTAGCTGGGTCATTATTCTACTACTACCTCCGTTGGAAATAATAGTCATATATACTAATCTGGGGTGTCCAAAGTAACTTTTCTCCTTTTGTAAGATTGTCATGATTAATGATTACCCTACTTGGAATGAATGATGGGAAGAGCATCTGCATGGACAACTATCCTGAATTCATTTATATTGTATACATGTTCTCATGTTGTGGATATAGGATATTAGGATCTTGTCATATTTGGTTCAACAACTACCATATATTGGCAACAGTAGCCTTAGCTATGTGCCCCCCCCCCTTCCCCCCCTATCTCTCCACTTCCATAAGTCGGAGTAACACTGAATATTTGGTATGGCGATTTGGCACTCAGAGGGGGACAAGCAATGATGTGGTAAGTTTGGATGGAAAAGACTTGACCATGAGTGAATGTTTTAAATATCTTGGGATCATCCAGAAAAATTGGGACATTGATCAAGACGTGGCTCACAGGATTAAGTCAGGGTGGCTTAAATGTAGAGCGGCCACGGGAGTGTTATGTGACCGAAGCATTCCCTTACAGTTGAAGGGAAAATTCTATAAGACTGCCATTAGACCAGTGTTGCTCTATGGTACAGAATGTTGGGCTTCTAAGGAGCACATTAAAAAGATGGAGGTTATAGAAATTCGCATGTTAAGGTGGATGTGTGGGAACACTCTAAGAGATAGAATTAGAAATGAGGTTATCCGCAAGAAAGTAGATGTGGCAGGCATTGCAGACAAACTAAGGGAAAATCGTTTGCGTTGGTTTGGGCATGTAAGACAGAGACCCGAGGGTGCACCGGTACGAAGAGTGGAAGGGTGGGCCCATAGAGGGGTTAAACGAGGGAGAGGGAGACCGAAAATGGCTTGGTTGGAAGGAGTTAGGAAGGATATGAAGTATATGGACTTGCATGAAGGTGAGGTATTGGATCTTAAGGGATGGAGGAGGAAGATTTTTGTGGACGACCAAACGGAATAATCATTTTTGTTTCATGTAGCCGACCCCATTCATGGGATTAAGGCTTTTGATTGATTGATTGATTGATTGGTTTACAATGTTTATGATTTCATTTCACAGGCGAGCACGGCTGCATTATGCACTTCTGGAACTGTTGCTGTGGAGCTGCAACTTGCTAGATTGCCATGCCTTGTTGCTTACAGAGCCCATATCTTAACAGAATGGTTAATCCGGTACAAAGCCAAAGTGCCATACGTATCCCTTCCTAACATCCTCTTGGACTCACCTGTCATTCCTGAAGCTCTCTTCGACAAATGTACTCCCAAAAATTTGGCATCTACTCTTACGTAAGGTTCTTGAACACTGTCATGTCAGTGATATTTCTATTTTTGTAACTACTATGTAATTAATTGGTGGCTAAATTGAATTATAAACCTTTTGCTAACTATAATTTCTGAAGTGATTATTTCGATCTCTGGTAGTAGTGATCTACTTATTTCGTTTGATTTTGATGTTATCAAAACTTTCCTTTGCACGGATTATCTAGGTGTTAGAGAGCCATTTATCATGCACATTTGCAGTTGCAGTTACAGTTTTTGATACAGAGTATGTAGGGTTCTGAAATCGGAGATTAGAGGTTTATTCTGACTGTTGATTGCCAAACATGGGCTTATTATCCTTGTGATGTATTCCGTATAGGCAAAACTCTCAAAATTGTTACTTTTGAGAAGATTCTACATAGTTTACAAAGCATTTGATAGAGCTGTTTAATCTCTTTTTGCAGAAAACTAATCCAAGACAAGGGCCTAAGAGAACAACAAATCAAGTCTGCTGGAACTGTTATCAGGCTTTTAAGTCCTCCGGCAAACAGTTATCTACAAGATGAATCAGGATATACTTCACAACCTAGTATGATTGCTGCATCTACTTTATTGCATTACAGAAGGTGCCATTAGCTGTAATATTCAAATCTACGTACTCTACCCCTATATATCTGGTCCCTTTGTCGTTGTGTTCGATTGAAAAGTTTCTGATTTCTATGGCTTTAAGCCTTTATGCCTCTATAATATTTCACTTTAAACGTCTCATAGTAATTTTTCTTTAGGGGTGTTTTCTTTGGTAATTTCGCTTAATATCTTTTTTTTTTTTTTTTTTTTCTTTCTATAATTGCTGTTCATTGTGACTCTCTAAACACAAATATGCAGGGTTAATTATTTTTTCCTTTTCGGCTTTCCCTCTTTTGTGCTCCTTGATTTGCCATTGTTCATGCTTTTCTCTTCCATTGTTATATTTGCCTCGATAGGAATTTGTGGTTATTCTTAGAAAACTTTATCCTAGAATATTAGTTCATCAGCTAAATATCTAATGGTAGAAAAAAATGGCATTTACCAAGAAAGCAAATCATCCCTTGGACCACAAATTTTTTCCTTTCAAGTTGCCGTTGACTGTTCTCTATATAATCTCCAACATCAGCAAATCATCTGTTTCATGTACATGACAATTTCCCCATCTTACCATCAACCATAACCTGGCTTTACTTTCTGTCCTCAAAAAAGCAACAAAATGGCGGCAACAAGAACAATGGCTGTTCGCTTGGGAATGATCTTAGTTTGCTCGATCTTGATAAATGTTATCGATGCTGATCAAGTAGATGCAGGGGTAGCAACACTGACTGTCGGTGATCATGCCAATGGCAGATTATTAGGCGTTGCTAGATCTTTAGAAGAAGATGGTGAATATGAAACTCCCGATACTGGTGATGATCCTATTCCCAAGGGCAATGTCATGGGATATTAGATCATTACTACCATTCCAAGGGACGTTGTCACATAGTACCACTCCCTGAAAGTGAATCCCATCTTAGAGTGAAAAAAAAAATGTAATTATAATTTAATTTTGTATAGTTGGAAAATACCATTATCCTAAAATATAAAATTTAAAAGTGTTGAGGTGAAATTTTATGGTAGGTGAATGCCACAAATATAATTTGTTACATCACCATTTCATGCAAGGTAGAAATTTTCTTGCCACCTAGTTTATATGGCTATGTAGTGCATAGTTTTTCTTGTATCTATAAATACTCATGTATTTTGTTGAGTATGAGATGACCTAGTTGTATTTTTACTCTCAAATAAATAAAGCTTACTCTCGTATCCTCTTATTTCATTACAAAAAGTTGTAAAAATGAGATTTTTTTTCCTATCACAAATCTTTGTACTAACCAGGGTTGACACAAGTTTTTTAGACAACATACATAGTATGTAATTAGAGATATTTTTCTGGAAGAAAAAAAAAAAAAAAAAAATTTCTCTAATAACATATATTGACTATTGAGTGCTATCATATATTTCTTGGTATCGTATCTTGATTATTGTCATACCAAATATCATCATGCAAACATCTTTGATAATATCTTTTCTAATCATTAATTCTATTAGTTGATTTATTACAATTTTTTTTATTAAGACCGTTTTACCAGTAGGAGGGATTCCAAATGAGTGGTACAACTATTGTTATTGTGCATTGAACTCTTTGTAACACGAGTTGTGAATCTTTTTATAGGCAAACTTTAATAGTTGAAATATAAAGTGGATTTGATTCAAAAACCCCTATGTTCTTATATATGTTCTCATCTGGAGTTTCTCTGTTAAAGAAATAACCAAAATTTTGAACATGAATACTCACTAATGCATGCATAGGCAGGAAAAACATATTCACAAGATAATATATCTTAGTAATATTCTAAGACAGATTTATGGAAGTTTATATGATAGAGTTTTATATTGTGTAGGTTATCTTTTGTAGGCTATACATATTAGCCAAGATCATCCATACAATTCAAGCTATTCTCTCATTTTACACAAGAAGTTTCCAATTAAATCTTATTGATAGTTTTAAAATAATGGCTCAATATGATTTTTTTTTTTTTTTTTTTTTTTTTTTGAAAGAAGACTTTAATTTATATGATTTTTTAATTCTCGTAATACATAATTAATTTTAGTGATGAAATGATAATCAAATGTGTGCATTGAGAGTTGTAAATAAGCAAATGAATATTTAAATAAACAAGGGGAGTATATCACTTGATTTGAAGAGCTAGCTCAATCGATGTGCTTATATATAAACTTTTAATGTAAAAACATTTTGATATTGAACATTTTCATTGTTTACTATCTGTATTTTGTTACCTTTCAAGATTGCAAATATAAAACTTTGATCATTAACATTTCATATTTATTAATGATAAAAAAAATTAATGATATAAAAATATACTTCATATATTGAGTCAATTTTAACAAGACTCGTATTTTTAAAAAGATGAATTAAAATAGATAGTGGGATTTAATTGATTAAATAAAAGGTTTAGTTGATTAAAGATGAATATATTACTCCAATTTTATACTTAGTCCCATTTGAAATTTCTGAGAGATATCAGTAATAAAAAAAAAAAAATCTAATGTTTCCTTGGGTATGTTTTGTTTGGTAATTCCGTCGCGGTTCATTGTGGCTCTGTATATATATATATATGCAGGGTTAATTTAATTTTTTTGTTTCTTCTTCTAGGCTTGACCTGTTTTGTGCTCCTTGATTTGGCATTGTTCATGCTCGTCTCTTCCATTGTTAGGATGGAACTTATGGTTATTTTTAGAAAACTTACTCCTATAATATTAGTTCATGGGCGCTGCCCAGTTAATCTTATTGATTAACAAACTTTGTTAATCTTTTTTGCCAGCTCAGATTAGTAAGTACAGGTAATGCGGGTTCAGTCTTCCGCATTACACGTGTTGCCAGCTATGCTAACGACGGACTTGTATTCACGGTAACGACCTCTAGGGGTATTATGTATTTAATATTCGGTAGTTGTTTTGAATCAACGCTTTCTTCAATCAGGGAACGACTCCTTTTACCCAATTCTTTGACTGTGCAACTGTTTGATGAGTGTAACAAATTATAGAGAGCTATCAACAATGAAATCCTAAACTACAATGTACTGTATTAAGAAAAATCAGAAAAGATAAACTTGAATTTGCCCGTTAGTTCATCATCTAAATAAAGAAGACTAGGAAGATTGAAGTACTGATTTTCCGTTAATACCATTGGAGGTTGGTTAAGGTGTTGGTGAGGTTCTGATTTTCCAACGAAACAAGAAGCCAAGGCTATTCTTAAAGCCACCGTCGAAAGGAAATTCGTTAATAATCGCGTTTCCGGCGGTAAAGGTGAAGTTAAGGCTAGGGTTTTCTCCCTTAATCCAAGGTTGGGTTTCGGTGAGGGGTCTTCTTGCGTTGGTCTTTGAAGGTTGTTGTTTGGGTTAAGTTTCGATTCCGACGGTAAGGTAATTCTTTATGGTACTCTTCTTCTAGTGAGTCTCAATTTCTCTTTGTTGAGGGAAAAGGTGGGTTCGCTTATCCTGTCGTGTCTTGGTTGTGGGATGATAAGAGTATTCTTCTAGTTGCTATCATCCCTTTGTTAGTGTTTGTGATGACAAAGCCAGTCATCGCTGTTAATCCACATCTTGAAGGAGGCTCCCCAACTTTAATGTTTGGGGTAAGCAAAGTCCTCCAGTTTCTTGCACTCTGTTAGTAGAGTTGCAGGAAGGGAACCTGCATAGAGTCATTAAAAAATATGACTCTTTTGGTTATCTTCCCAGCTCCTAGGAAGTAGTTATTCTTAGTGTTCCCTAGGAGTGAAGTGGTGTCAAGGGTTCTTGTTTCTTCAACAGGGGTACTCATCTTTCGGTTGGTTCTACTCTCAACAGCTTCTACTTCAAATTTGCTTTTGTGTTTTGGCAAGTTTCAGCTCTCCTCACTGCGTTCAAGCTACAATATCTATACATCTCGAGTTATTTGGTTAGTTTGGCAATGCTCGGGCCAAATTACAGATCCAGTATATTTTTGTTGGTTTTCTCGGCTCCGAAGTCCATGGTGTTTTATAAATGGCGGTCATCACGGGTGGTTATGCTATGGTTGTCATCATTGGTGTTATGCTATGGTTCATAAGGAATCTCATTCCTGTTTGCGTGTTTGATTTGATATGTTTCTTAGTTTTTTATTCTTCTGAGGTTGTAATAATTTTTTCGTTAACATAATCTTTTGTCAAGAAAAAAAAAAAAATCTAATGGTAGAGTAAAAATGGCATTTACCAAGAAAGCAAAAACATCCCTTATACCACAAAATCTTTTCCTTTCAAGTACGTTGCTGCTGTTCTTTATATAATCTCCAACATCAGCAAGCCATCTGTTTCATGTACATGACAATTTTCCCATCTAACCATTAACCATAAGTCCATAACTTGGCTTTATTTACAATTCTCTTCCTCGGAAAAACAACAAAATGGCGGCAACAAGAACAATGGCTGTTTGCTTGGTAATGATCTTTGTTTGCTCGGTCTTGATGAATGTTATCGACGCTGCTGATCAAGCAGAGACACTGACGGCCGGTGATGTTGCCAATGGCAGATCATTCATTAGGCGTTGCTAGATCTTTAGAAGACGAAGATGTAGGTGGTAGTTCTGAAAGTCCCGATACCGGGGGTGATGATCCTATTCCCATGGGCAATGTCATGGGAAATTAGATCATTACTACCATTCCAAGGGACGGAGGGGTTCCAAATGAGTAGTACAACAATTGTCATTGAGCATTGAACTCTTTGTAACGCAAGTTATAATTCTTATAATAGGCAAACTTTAATACTTAAGTGCTTGATTTAAAGATCACTACGTTTTTATGTATGTTCTCATCTGGAGTTTTTCGGTTAAAAAACCAAAATTTTGAACACGAATACTCACTAATACATGCATAGGCAGCAAAACATATTCACAAGAAGTTTTCCTGTTAAAATCTTATTGATAGTTTTTAGTTTTTTTTTTTTTTTTTTTTTTTTTTTTTTTTTTTTTTTTTTGGAAAGAAGGCTTTAATTTATATGAATTTCTTAATACCCGTTATACATAATTAATTTTAGTGATGGATTGATAATCAAATCATCAAATGTGTGCATTGAGAGTAGTATATACTCCCTCTGTCCCATAATACATGACACAATCATACATTGCACAAATGTCAATGCACTAGTCTGACTTTATTTTTATATAATTAAATATTAATGAAAATTATTTTTAAAAATATATTATGAAACTTTATATTAAAACCCATCTAACAACATATTTTATGATAAAATATATTTTTATTATGTTAGTAAAAAATTATGGTCAAACCTAATGCACGAGAAAAAAAAGTCTAACATCTCATGTATTATGGGACGGAGGGAGTATAGAGTACTCCCTCCATTTTTAAATACCTGCTCCATTTTCATTTTCTGCCGTTTTTAAATACTTGCTCAATTTCCTTATTTGGAAAGTTTTTACAATATTTAATTCATTTATCTCAACTAGTGGACCCAACATAAATCATATTTTATTAATTCTTTATTCTCTCTCCTCCAACTCTGTCAACTATTTTTGTTTTGTATAATTTTTTATTCTTCCACCTATCCTACTACTTCTATATTTTATTACTTTCTCCAATTTCTCCTAAAACTCCGCTTATGGAAAAATGGAGCAAGTATTTAAAATTGGAGAGAGTATATCACTTGATCTGTGGATCACCGTTAAATTAAAGGATGCTTATATATTTTATGGTGACATATAAATGATGCTTTAAGAGCTCAACTTTCTTTTTTTTTTTTTTTCTTTTTTTCTTTTTTTCTTTTTTTTTTCTTGATATGCCTATATTTAAACTTTTAATGATTTATTTATTTATTTATTTTTGAAATTGAATATTTTCATTATTTACTATTTTGTTACCTTTCATTGTTGCAACTTGCAAATACAAAACTTTGATAATTAATACTTCATATTTATTCATGATAAAAAAATTAATGATTTGAAAATATATATTGACCGATCAAGTTTAACAAGACTCGAATTTTTAAGAAGATGAATTAATATAGACATTGGATATAAATAAATCTAATATTTTAATATAGAGAAGATATTTTAATTCATGTTTAACAGTTTTAATATAGAGAAGATATCTAACAGTTTTACTGTATAAATAAATCTAATATTTTAATATAAAGAAGATATTTAAATCTAATATTTAAGATGTTTGCATGATGATATTTGGTATGACAATAATCAAGATACGATAC